GTAATATACAATACATTGTAAAGCCATTACAAATTGTAACATCTTTTGAACAGAATTGATAGCTTAATATATATCACAAATGTTAGAATTTGTAATATACAATACATTGTAAATACGTGCGAACTCAATAGAAATTCTATTAATACGTTGTTCAACAATATATTTATCATATAATCTCATGTAACCTGTAGTTTCATGCAGTGTCCATTACAAATTGTAACATCTTTTGAACAGAATTGATAGCTTAATATATATCACATATTATTTAATATATATTTTTATATTATCTTTTATAAAAAGAAATCATAACTATATAAATACAATATACCCAAACCAATATAAATAGTCATACTTACGAATATTTATTAAATAATATATTTATTATGAAAAACTGCACTTATTTATGATGTAATATTCAAATCCCATTATTTCATAGACGATTCGACTCAGCAGTGTTACGGGTCTGGAAATTCTTCAGAAGCGATTTGTCCCTTCTTGAAGAACAGAACCACCACACCCCTTTGCCATGCTTGAGGCGTTTTGCCCTCGAGGATAAAGGTAAACTCAGAAAATATATGTATTTTATGAGTTTACCTTTATTAATCAATCTCGTAAACGTATTAAACTAAATTTGTTGTACTTTTTAATTTCACCTATATTTACATATTAATGACACTAACGGCAGCAACAACAACCAAATGATATGAATGCTAATATCTAGAGAACATAACTTTATACAATGCTAGTATACTATTTATAACTCAGAGAAAAAACTACTACAAACACTAGCAAAACATTGTAGTCTGCTATCAATTAAAGCAAATGCCCTATTAAAGCAAATTATGCGGAATTAGTGATCTCGTGAGTAAAGGTACCCGTGTATCTACTCGTACTAATTATGCATGCTTAAATACACACATAAGCCATGCTTCTGTTATTATAACGTGATAATTCTATAGGAATAATTTATTGTTTATGGAATATATACTAATTGGGCAATTATAATAGGTAATATATATGTAGTTCTAAATTACTGTACCACTTCTAAAATCTAAAACAGTATGATAGCGTCCATTTGTTTTGTTAAATAGTCTTTTTGAGGATAAAGCAGCTCGAAGAAGCAAGTAACGATATTAACAGATATATCTTCCTCATATGAAATATCAGTGTTAAAAAATACTCATATTATTATGTCTACCTATTATAGTAAGCAGATCCATTAAGGACAGAGTACTACCATAAGTACTTGAATTAGCGGTCATTTATTGTTTGTAGTGTCGAATACAATCATTCATACTATGATTAGACTGTGAACTCTCTACTTCACAACTATAACATAGTGCAGATTGCATCTGTATTATAAGTATTCGTATATGTTCAATGTTAATCGTCACACTCATTCTTGAATGATGACCATGTGTAGCAAATACCATTGAGTAATTACAATTTTATATGTTGCTGTACTGATAGTGATAATAATACTAAAATCTTACTTAATTACTATTCTTTGTTTTTAATAAAAATCTTATTTTTTTATATCTTATTAATGGTGAAACAAATTGTAGTCGATCACTTTTTTTATAAATTAATATTAATAAATTCATTTTTGGCAGTTTAACGCCAGTCCTTCTATTTTATGGTATCATCTCGAAAATGTTGAACTGCTATAATGAATACAAAACTGTTGACACTCCAATCTTTTAAAATAATAATTACTAACAAATTAACAAATATTAAATCTTAAGTCTTAAATATTTAGTCATATTCGACGCACGTATGCACGCCAAAACAGGAGACCATCATAACTTTCCAACAGATGGGACATCAGCTTATTTGCTATTCCCATCACATAAAAACCTATTTGACAGAGAGGATAGATTAATTTATAAATGATAGCAATATATAGCAAGTATAAGTTTATTTGCGGACAACGTGATAATTTATTTTTCATATTCATTCATTTCTTTCTTGATATATGATAGCGTAGCGGCTTTTGTATTGATTGCCGCATGCATCCTCATGTAAAGTGCGAATACTGTAACTACCATATAGTAATTTTTGTAGCTGTGACGTGGTCGAGTGGAATAAGTAGTCATGCTCACTAAAATGTCCAGACATGTGACGGCGTGGTGGGCCGGGTCATTGGGCTCCCTAAAATATGGTCGAGCGCAGTGATGGCTGGCTCATCCGTCATACTCGTGAACGAGTGCTGCTTGTAGGGACTGGTCTGCTCTTATCACTAGACTGATTTAATCTTATTGTGTTTTTATATTTGAGCCTAAATAAATTAGTGCTGGTTGATAGTTTGTATTCACACGTTTCGACTTGTAAAATGTGAACTTACAAGGATTGTTTAAAAGAGCAACACACAAGTTTCTTGCTTATTCTTCTTGTGATGAGGCAGCTTTCCGAATAAGCGGTAGATTTAAAAAACTGTTGACTATTCAAAAGTGCTTAAATTAAGTTTATTTGAATAAATGATTTTCTATTCTATTCTATTCTATTCCTGTCTTACTAATATTATAAATGATAAAGTTTGAGAGTATAGATGGATGTTTGTGACTCTTTCACGCGAAAAATGTATATTCTGATTTATGTATATATAGCCCATAATTTCACGTGGGTGAAACTGCGGGCATAGTCAGACATATATACAGGAATGAACATTTTAACTATCCACATTTGTATGTCGCGGTTCAGTAAAAAGAATCTACAATTGTTAAAGGTAGTACGTACAAATGTATTTCGTATTTTCATTTCCTTTCCATAATATTTCTTTGTAAAAAAGTGTCAGTGTAATAACGTGCTATTTAATATATGTATATATATTTGAAAATGACTAATTGTTGCTAAGCTTTTTATTATGAAACATGATGAATGAGGGTTACAGGCTTGAATGTTTTTAATTAAAACCGTCGTCGCTTTGTAAACTACTCTTGGTCGCATGTCAGACATTGTTAAAGTAAAAATAAAAGGAATACAATATAAAATAGTAAACATAAAATGTACTTATTGTACATTTCTAAATGATTGTTTCGGAACGTTCTATAAAGCTAAGTAAATGCAAGTATGGTTTTTAATTATACTCGAAATAAATACTTAATATGTTTACCATATAAAATGTATAAATATAATTTTATTTCTATAATCGCATTATTCTTTGTAATTTTATTGTAGTTATTAAATTTAAATTTAAATTAACCAATATAACATATCTTTTATTTCAATTTAGTTGTAAGTATTTATTAACATAAAAAATATCATAAATTTTAATATTTATGTCTTATATATGTAATCGCAAATTATCGAAGATATATTTATATTCATTTAGCGAATAAATAATGGTAGATTTTCTATTTAATTTGTTACGTTATCACGACTAAACAGATAAACGGATCCTATTGACATTTAATATCAAAATCTCTAAAAACAGAGATCTAAAGTCGCAGATAACAGTAACTGTTAATGAAATTAAATAAAATTTTAAAATTTGTTATTATATATATCTCCTGCCTATATGATTAAGTACGTCATGGAGGCTACGAAGTAACTAGTTAAGTAATGAATTATACAAAATGATTTACGTCATTTAATAATATCATGTAATTTAATACTACAACTAGACTCATCTATCTATTATGGATAATTATAGATCATAATATTTCATGTTAACCGACTCCCAATTAAAGGGAAAAGCGTCTTTTCCTATTACTTGGGATTGGCTTGACATGTTCTTATATGTGTATTTATAGAGGTCAAAGCTATAATATTTTTAATCAACTTCAAAAAGTAGTTTCTCTATTTAATCATCACTTTTAGTATATATCATACGTTACTTCCATAATTGTGAAATGTTTCTGAAAATATTTGTCTTATTTAGTAAGGTTATTCCCATATTATAAATTTTGTAAATAGTGAAGATTAATTAAAAATACTTAAAAAAAGTCACGAATGATTTTGTCAAAATTTTAACTAATAGACAAGAAGGTAAAATCCTACAATAAGTAGTAACAGCTAGTATAGTTCCAAAACATTATTAATGATCCTCACTTAAGGTCTTTCTTTTTTCCGATAATGATTAAAAGAAGTTTATACTTTGATGTTACATCATACAACGTCTAAAATTGTGAAACTGAGTTTGCTAAATAAGATGTCAAGCAGGTGTTACGAAATATTACCGACATAAACCGTCTTACACCGGTGACAGCAATCTATTGCTCATATACATAATTATATTTTATACATGAATCACAACTATTATAGGAGCGAATACGAAATAACTATGCAAAATAATAGCATAAACAGAAAACAAATTAACTCCTAAGTGATTTATTAAATCACGTGTACAACTGTACATGACGTTTTCTGTTGCATCTCCATGATTATAACCATGGAACTGATAATTTTCATAGTCTATATATAACGAATGAGACTACAATAGCATTTATTCATTAGGACGGAACATTAGTCTCCAGTTCTGTGCTGAAACATAAATATGTTGTATTTTATTTGTTTCAACTTGTTGTTGCTAAATTACGTTAGTGCTGAGTCTTTACGTAAGTAGTTTAAAATATATAACAATTTTATAAAGGACATAGTTTTGATAAAAACGGTGTGTTGTGAATTACAATATTAAAAACTATTTTGAACAATACGAACTCTTATTTCTTAAATAAGTAACTAGCATTAACTCGATATTTACAATAATTATAAATACTATAAATGAAATAGAGTAGTTATTAAGTAGTTAATAGTTTAGTACTAAAATAATTCAATAATGTACACTAGACTATGCTACCGGTTTGCTAAGTGTATTATTAAATTATTCCTTTGCAATCCATTATTTATTCAGGTGTCATCTACAAATACATATACGGAGTGGTATACTACCTGTATTGATTTTTGAAGCTATGTAGTTACTTCATTATTATTATTACACTATATTCATTGTAATAAGAATATATTTATTGTATTATATATTCTAATTTTATTTATTTCAGCTGATTATATAAAATCTTGCTCCAGAAATGACCCTAACTTAAATGAATGTGCTTTAAAGTCTGCTAGGGAATCGCTTGAGCAATTTGCTCGAGGAGATACGAGCAGAAAGTTACCACCCTTGGACCCTTTGTACGTGTCTGAAATGACTGTGTACATCCCTAATGAGAATGGATTGAAATTAGTCTTCAAAGATAACTATTTTCATGGTCTATCTGATATGAAGTTGGAGAAATTAAAGTGAGTACTGAAACAAAGTAAAGTTTTTTACTCATATGTATGGTGTTATCATAAACTAAATAAATATTTTATGCAATACACAACTTATATCACGGGTAGGTATATTTCTCGTAACAGGTTACAACGTTATTAACTTTATTCAGATTGCTGAGTACCTGAATGATCGATCTTCACTCAGCTTTTATCATACGGGCCCTACTACGGTCTAAGAAAATATTACAATATATATATATATATTTAGTTACCAAAAAGATACTTTTTCGTTAGATAAACTGCGTCACTCGTGTACAATTTATACAATAACTAGCTACTCGCCCCGGCTTCGCACGGATGTACATGATTTATTATATATATAAAACTTCCTTTAGAATCACTCTAACTTTAAAAAAAACTGCAAACTGCTTCAAAATCCGTTGCGTAGTTTTAAAGATTTAAGCATAAATAGGGACAGACAGCGACAGCGACTTTGTTTTATACTACCTATGTAATAATGATTTCATAACAATATTACTAACTACTTTATACTTGTACATACATATGTATGTATAGTTATCGAAATATTGTATTCAATTCTGGTAGTTCGCAAATATGGATTTCGCAAAAATAATAGTTATATTAATAATAGTTAATGTTGTTGTTTATATTTTTAGAAAGACCAACTAAACTTTATTACTCAAGTCTTTTAGAATGTAAAGATTTTGTATATTATAAAAAACAAAATAATTTATATATGCACCATATTACAATAATAAAAAAATCGTATTGGTTCTACTGGTTGACACTGACTGCATTTATCTCTATAAGTATACACCTCATATCTCCATACTAATAATATTTTCAGCATATATTTTATATGAGTTTTTTAAGACTTTACTTTTTTGTACAGCAATTGATCTTTTGCCCTACAAAAAATATAAAAAAGTAACACGTTGTCAACTCTTCACCGTAAGAAAATAATATGGGTCTAAATATATATTCTATACATAAATATTTAAGTCTAAATATTTTTAACAACAAATTATGTAATCTTGAAATTGCTTGAAGATTTTCTCATTTATATAATTTATTTTATACAAATCTCTTTACAATTAGTTCTATTTTATGGTACACATTAATTAGGTCTTTAGTAACGAAAATTATTATCATTAATCATGTACCTGGCACAACTGAAAATAAAATCTGTGGGTACAATACTAATTAGCCAAGGGCTTTGTTATTTATTAAATTAACTACCATTCGTAAATAAGATAAGTTTAACATAGAAAACGCCTCCTAACAAACAGTAAAGTTTACAAAATAAATTATGTAATGAAATTGAAATGTATAATGTATATTAATATAGAATTTTATAAAATTAGCTAATAACCTAAATTTTTTTCTGAAAAAGATAACTGTAGATTTGCACTCATAATGATTAAAAAACAAACAAGTCGAGCGTTGACTGCAAGTGTAAAAATGATTGAGTAATATGTCTTTAGTTATTCCAGAAAAATTTCTGAACACATTGGTCTTACTTGTTCAATCAAACTCTTTATGGTATATTTAGTAATTATTATTTTATTTCGTAGCCTGTAATATGATGGTAAAAACCGATTCCATTACTTAGTACTCACGACCTCTATGTCTTTTTTATACCAGTGATGTGACAACAATCTATAATCATGCTCGTGATGGCCTCTTACAAAAGATATATATTCTTGAGAAGGGGAAGATGTAGATTGTAATAAGGACCGATCCTACTACTGCATGTCAGTTCAAACTCCACGTGAATTTATCACTGTTTCATTGACCTAGCTTCGTGCTCGTCTTATCTTCCTCCACCACCGTATACCGTTAGCGTAGATGCATAATTGCATGTTCACCTAAAAAAAAGTAATATTGTAATAAACTGTGAAATACTAGTATCCCCCTATTAATATTTTTCTGTTTCTCTCTCTCTCTCTCACACACACACACACACAAGTCAATAATAATAAGCTTAAGTTAATACCTTATTTTATTTTAATTAATTGTAAGAGGAGGCGAGAACTGGCACCTAAAATACAAGTTTCTACTTAGTTTAGGTACCAGGGAACAATTTAAATTGTAAATATTGCAAAATAAAAATTATTATTATTATTATTAATATAATTTTTTTGCTAACACTCTACTCTCGGTACTATTAATGAACTATATGCCCGACTAACGACGACGTCATGACTCACGGACAATTAGCTTTGGGCCTTTTAATTACGAATAATATTATGATGGCGCCTTAACTTAAAGGGGCCGTTCAAATAATTAGGCACAGCGATGATTCAATAAACACAAAAGGAGTAATGGAGTGAAAAACCTCGTAGTGATCTGGCGGATTTTATTCACGGCTGGAGGTTATTTTAGGTTTAGTCTAACTTTTATTTAGGTACTGCTTAGATAGACAATACATTTATATTACTAATATTATTTAGCAATAATTTATATAATTTTGAAAATAGAAAACAAGCACCATCATTTATCCGGAAAGCACAACACAATGTATGCAAAAAGTAGATTTAAGTACTTACTAATAATATGTATATGATCTGCGTTTCACCTTCAGCTGATTTGAAACCTATATTGTAAAATCATGTACCTATAATTTATTTTAAAATATTTATATAGTATAATCCATCTGAAAATTATCACAAAACTATTTCTGTACCAGAAATTATATATGTGAATCTGTGCATTAATAAAACATAAAGTGTTGCACGAAATCTTGCACTACTTGGATATCTGCATATTCATGGTTGCTTTTTCATGATGTATTATAAAGTACTTACCTTTTTCAATTGAATTTAATAATTGAATGATACTCATTTCAATTGCTATTAAATCGCCTTAAGTATCTATGTCCCTATCTTTATGGAAACATAACTAAAACTACTTTTATTTATTTTCAGATTTGATTTGAATAAAAAAGTGATATATACAAATGCTGTAGTCAATTTGGATGTACATAATAAGTATGATCTCAGTGGGAAACTTATGATAGTTCCAATTACATCTAATGGTGATTCTTCTATTAAATTAAGTAAGTATAGGTTTAAAGTTTTTTCATGACAGTCTACACTTGTACACATTATATATAAATGATCTGGTTTATATAATGGATTATTTATTTATTGCTTTACAAGTGTATACATTAAACTATTGTATCTCTCAGTTATTCTTTAATGCTGTAATAGTCTTTATGGTGAACTATTATTTTCTACAATTTAAGGAATTTACAAAATTTTTATTCATATTTTATATACGAAGGCAATTTGTTATATATTGAAACAAACTTTAGGTAAGGCCCAGAGCTAGGAAATACTAGGTTGAATTTTAAATTTTGTAGTTGTTTTTATACCGTGATTGATATCGACGGGGCATGGCTTTTAGTGTGGGATACGAATCGGGATTATTTATGACAAATTTACAAATTTCTTATATATAAATTCAGAGTAAAGTTAAGGTCCTTACATTTTTAAAATGAGGTTAAATTAACATGTAGATCTACGTATGCGATATGATACGTTGTTATAATATTCATAAGTATCCTTATACATTTCTTAATATTTATTCTGTAATATTTATTGAATTAAAGGATGTATCGTGTTCTAATATAGGGAGCGCTTAAATAATAATAAATAGGTTTTATCTATTTAGATACAATAGAGGAAAACATAAAGTACAATGTCGTCGTAGTGCTTAAATTTTGTTCATTTATCTTTGTCGAGAAGTAGCTTACTTTCATGATGCGTTCCAGTGATAGTGTGAATTATAGCAGTTAAATTACTGAATACTGTAGTACGGAACACAAGTAGATACTTTAAGATACGGATAGAAATGTACTTTCCGTATTAAAATCTTTCACAGGCTACAACCACTTACCATCTTCCAAGTCATATACTGATTTAGTATAATATATATATTTTACATCAAATTTATAAATAACATGGAAGAATTTATTTCCACATTTTTTATATTCTTTTTCTAATATTTTCAGAAAATACAGTGTTACAAATAAGTTTATGGTATGAACACGTGACTGGTCCAGATGGTAAAATACATTGGAAAATTATAAATCATGATATCAAATACAATATAGAAAAGGCTGTGTTTAGATTAGAAAATTTGCTCGGTGACAAAGCAATTGGTGAGTCTAAATATACTTACTATTATTTACTTAATAAAGAAATTATTCTGAAGTCTTGATTGATGATGATTCAAATATTTTCATGCGAAAATAAGTGGCGCTCGATTTTTCTCGAATTATTGAAAATACTGTTAAAATAACAAAAATAAAATGAACATCCGGTCCAAATTGTACATTACGTGTATCACGACAAAAAATATTCGACTAATGCATGCCTCTGTTTACTCCATCCAGAATTTAAGTTATGTAAATGTAGCTGAACCCATTGCGTATTCATTTCACTCCGTTATCCAAGATTCTATAACATCCGTGACCCAAAAATATACACCGGATGCAACTAATAATCAGCTTGTCATTCACATAACCCTTTCAATGTTCCGATCGCAATATTATTACGATGTTATTTACATAAGAAAAGCCTATTATTTTCAGTAAAGGCTATATTATCTACTATGCTAATATGGTTTAGTTACTTAGTATAGTGAATGAAGTTAGTTTGATAACAAACATATGTTATTAAACCGACTACTTTCTTTATTTTTATTTATGAAATATCCTAATTTGAATGGGTGACATATATATCATAGTATACATCATCACACTCATTTTGTGTGACAAAGTACAAAATAAATATTATATATTTAAATACAATATAAAATCATATGTATAATATAACAACTTTTCGAAACGAAAATAATTTAAATATTTTGCATCCCAATGCTTTATGGGAATAATTACGTTGTTTGCTAACAAATCCGCGAGTTCATGATGGATCAGCATCCAGGGCATTTTATGGGCACATAGCAATAAAACTGTGCAATTTATGAGCCGAAAGTGGTGATGGCAGTGTTTCATTTATGTATTTATTGATTATTGTTATGTCCACCATGTCACTGTATTCTTACGTACTGGGATTTATCGACATAAATATTTGTTTCAGTAAATTAATACACATGAAATACTTTACTTTTTTTTCGCACTACTCTAATGCTGTTGGCCGCAGCTGGCCGTTACAGCTTCACCGGACGATAGGAGGCGAGTGCAGATGGCACTCCAAACCCGCGGAATAACTTATTACGCGGAACAACTACCGCCTGACGGATACGACTTTAGTCTGGAGGGCACCGCTAGGGGTTCGAACCTCGGCTCAGGCCGTCGTAGTTACTGCCTTTGATTTGTACGGGGGATCTAACGGAGGGGCTAGAATATTTTACGCTTATCTCTTATTGCAGTAAACAAAAACAATGAAATGAAGAAAAATTCTAAATTAAACATTCTCTTGTGCTATTTCTATATTAGTCAGTTTAAGTCATACTTTAAATAGTTTCAATTGATTGCGTTTTACTTCTATATTATTCATTTATAGGTAACTGCTACTAGAACTTATTGGTGATAATACTGTGAATTTTAAACATCAAAATATTTTAAGTAACAAAATTTACAGTTACACTATATTATGACAGTTTGAGATTATGTTGTGTATTGTGTTTTGTGACCCTTCTATTAAGTAGCAACATTTAACTTTCATTCAATAACAATATATCTTAGTCTATATATATGCGATGACTGTATAGTATGCAAAACATATTTATTTATTACCTCTTATTTCTTTGGTAGCTATCAGATATTTTCATAATGTATATATTAGAATTGACTTATCGATCGATATCATTAATTTACTTTAGATTTGATAAACGTATTCTGTTGTTATGAAAACTTAATAAGACATATTTTTTATCTACAGGTGATCAAGTCAATTTGTTGCTGAATGAATTATGGCGGGAAATTGTAGCTGACGTCGGTCCGTCTGTCTGTAATTCACTAATTGAAGCCGTGGTGGAGACCTTAGGTGTATTACTAGCTCAAGTACCTTATGATGAACTAATGCCCGAATAACGTTTTATGTGAGATAAATAATGATTAAATAATATTATGAATAAATCTAAAATAAATAATTATGCCTTTGATTACAAATTATATAACAAAAAATACCTTTTAGGTAATAGTGGAAATTGGAAAAACCCTATTCATTATCTTAACTTTTCATTACAACCAAATTACGTACAGTGTAGCTTAAAATGCCCTTATTGCCAACAAATAATAAAATTAAGAAATAATAAAAGAAAATGCACAGTGCAGTGCACAACTCTGAACTTCAGTAAGCTCTCATTCCTCAAATAATTCAAGTCACAATGTTTAAAATTACCTATTTATTGTTAGAAAAACAAATGAAACTACTGTCTTATTAATATTAGAAACGCGAAAGTTTGGGAGTATGAATGGATATTAGTTACTATTTCACGCAAAACTACTTATTTATACATCAGAATAACATATAGGCTATAAAATTGATTTGGGTGAAACCGCGGGCACAGCTAGTATTTCATAAATTAATCATCGTGTAGAATAAAACGACAAAACACGTTAATCCTTACTACTTTTAAAATGTATTATGTTTTAATAATGCCTTTGCCTTCCCTAATGGAATACGGTTCAGCACCAGTGAAGAAATTTCAAATAACAAGATGGGCATGAGGTGAAGTCTGTTAGTACAGTGAGATCAATTTACCAGGACTTAACTACAATTTATTTAGAATTAACCGAGACCACGTGGAGGTCAACCTGACATAGTATGTTGTTAGAATTGGGTGACCCCCAAGTTCCTATTACCAACAAACTCCTTCTATCCTATACTATTACTTTGCTTATTATAATAGTGTACCGGTCCATTTTAATTTAAGATTTTCCGCCAGAGTACCCTTAATTAAAACCCTTGTGGGTCAGAAATTAAATGCGCAGGGAACCTTCGTTTGTTCCCTAATTGGTGATTTACCAATATCAAATTACTTGTAAAGGTTAGTAGTGAAGAATTATTATAGTTATTTTAAGTTCTTCCTATTCTAGATAAACCAGAGACCACTATTTTTGTTATTCACTGTAACTTAGGGTAACTCTGGCATGTATACATAAAAACCATAGGCAATCACAGATGACGAGAGATATATTGTATATGTAATAAAATTATGTCATAATTTGATTACTAAAAATAACATAACATTTCATTTAAAAAAATGAATAATGTCAATGAGGTATACTCTTAATTTCGATACTATACTTAATTGATATATTTTAACCTTACCACTACGACTTCTTTATTGGATTACCTAATAGTTGTCTATCATAAAAATAGATATTTCAATAATTTTTACGCTGTTAAAAAGAGATTATTCCTTTCTATATCGCAATTGATACATAAGTAAAGCTTAAAATGTATTTTTCTGTTTGATATATAATTATAAATTAAATAAATTAAAAAAAATTGAATTTGATATTTCAAATTATGACATTACAAATAAAATAATATAATATAATTAATTAATATGTTTGATCTGCAAAAACATCGTACAAAACCAAATTCAACAAGAAGATTACTATTAAATATATACTATGTACATATATATAATATGTCTACACCAAAGAGATATCCTCTGAAAATCATAGGAAGGAAATATTTTGTCAAGTAATCAAATTTTAAGATCAGCCGAAAGGAAACCGCCGCGGCGCTGCGGGACTCTCAAATTATTATTATTATTAATATTGTACCGCTCAAACAAACTCGAATAGAGGTGGGTATTATTCTCACGATTTTCATAACAAATTTTCTACAAATTGCCTCCAAATAGCTGTTGTTTAGAAAGTCATTTTACCTTTTAAGCTGAGATCGCCTATTCACTTAATTGCCGTTCAAATTTAGCTGACAATTTTGGCTTTGATTAATGAAAAAGTGGCTGGAGGTTTATTATGCCCTATCTATTATTATTAAGTACGATGAAAATTATACCTATATCCGGTCAATATATGAAATTCAAAATTATGACCGCATGTAAAGATCATAACTACTACGTAAATGTTTTTTTTTATTAAGAATTAACATTGTGAAAAGAAATTGTATGGAATAGAAAGTATTAAAATATAATAATACCTAATACTAAACAGACGCTACAAACTGATAAGACTACAGTCAACTATAGTCAATGTGACATATTGCAATATTAGAAATCTAGTATACGTACAATATATTTACACATTACACTTTTACATTACACAATTAATGTGTTTTCTTTAATTAGTTCAAACAAATTAAAGGCTTGATTTTTAAATTTTCATAGCAATGTTGTTAAAAATAGTAATGTTTACCTAAAATTCCGAAAATAATATTGTATAACGTTAGCAAAACTCTTCGTTGCAACGAAACAATTTGCCTGATACAGACAAGCGGAGAACAATACACCCAACCTGAATACCAGTCATGACTTTGTAATCGTCTATCCGCAGAGATTTAACAAATGACATACAACAAGCTTTTAAAGTAACCAAGGACTGGAAACATAAATTATAACGTTCCTCAAAAGGAAACTACTGTTCGAGAGAAAATTTCTAATTGTATTTGTATTTAATAAAATGCAATGCTAATGATTCTAATATTTTTTATTAATGCTTATACCTATATTATTAGCTATTAGGATACATATGATAGTTGGCTGATTACAATACTACTTGTAATAAATATACTAATATTAATAGACCGGAAAGTCTATTAGTTTTATTTTATTATAGAATAAGTCAGACTACTGACATATTCTATAATAAAATAAAACTAATAGACTTTCCGGTCTATTAATATTAGTATATTTAGTTTATTATCTCGCAAAGATATTTAGATCTCTATTATGACAGTACATACATATACCATTTAATCAATACATATGAGCAAACTCTAATAAATATTCATATGTATGATTTATGTGAAGATTTATATGATTCATTTATAATATTAGGTATCGCCGATCACTATTAATCGTGTATTAAATACATGATTAATAATGATCGGCGAATTTTAGACAAATATCCGCATGTTTATAGATATTTAGGGATAAATATCAGATTTTTTTATATATTATTTAACTTGCGTTGCGACCGGACTACCTCCACATCGCATGTATCCGTTTGTAACAAGTCTATCCCGCTTCCTTCCAAGTTAAAAGCTTCTAGTTTCTTGAGTTTGTTAAAAGCCGGAAAGCCAGTATGAATTGAGCCATCACTGTGAACACAATAGGCTGAAAAAGCAACATTAAGACCGGATTTTAGTCTTAAGTAAGGCAATGACTTGAGATACTGTAATGCAGACGACTTGGGCTGTATTCAACTTTGAAATAATTATATAATTTTAGATGCTGAGGAAAACAAAGAGGCTCTAAGCGTGACGGTGGGGGACTGAAACAAGATTTTTCTTTAGATTTACATAATCTGCAAATCTTTATTATAAATCGTACGTAATATGACCACATATATGTATCCCATACATGCTGTACACAGACTAACTTATCTCAAAAACTTAGTCTTTCAGCCACTTGTGCTTATATTTGAGAAATTAATACAAACATGTAGAATTTTTTCCAGACAAGTGTAATAGCAAAGTTAAAACCTCACGTAAATTTAGATCAAATACGAATGTAAGCCTATTTAATACATATATATCATGAAATATATACTTAGATGTATATGACTTTCTCCAAATGTGAAATTATTTATCTAGTGTTAATATGAATACATTTTCTTGTACATATTGGTAGTTACTTAAAAAAGCTTACATGTATATTACATCACTATTATAAGAAATTCAATTGCAAACAAATTCGTTATTACAATCCTTATATCCTCATATTTACTTTTGTGACAGAAATTAACTACAAAAAAAGTAAATCCTTAAATACGATAACTACTGTTTGATATAGCAATAATATTGCAGTAATTCGAACTGACTGACATATTATAATAAATAAACAGGTGCTATGAACACCAAAAGATTATTTTTGAATTTTTAGAAACATTACTAATTAATTATTAGTTAATTATTAGACTAACACTGGCGTTCTTTTATATTTCACCATTATTAATTAAGAATATTAATTAAATCTTGCTTATATTTTTTTGTAAATAAACAGTAAATTTATCGTACTATATACTGTTTTTCTTTTTTAATTTTATTATATGTATTTAAAATTCCGTAGCATCCACATTTTTAACACACGAACGAACTCTTTTTACATCCCTGCAATTTCGCAAGAAACATAACATGCAAACGTTGCTCAAATCACCCTTGAAAGGTAGGAGGCGCCCTTAATATTTCCGCAACCAGCAGTCTCGGTAAACCGCCTGCAGTCATAAAAACAATTTACTACTCTAAGACCTGTTTTATGGCGACAGGACATACGATACAGCACAGAACACTCCGCCTGTACTTCAGAAATCTATTTTTCTTACAGGACTGAGTCCTTTTACCTGAGGCCTGTAAGGAAAGAAGCTCAATTGTGTGCTTGATTGTTTTATGTTTGACGTACTTTGAAACAAAGAATTTTAAACCGTGTTTATATTTTCCAAGATATCTTACATTTTTGTAGTTATAAAGAAAATTCTACAATACAGATGAAGATTAGTTCTGAAAGCTTATTTCACATTTATTATGCTCTTCAATAGCCAAATATTTTTATTGCTAACCTTATAACATATATTTTCATTATTCTCTTATAACTTTCCCATTTAATGAGTTGTTCTGTTACCACTGGTATGATAAAATGATGTCCGTATAGTTCATGTATACAGACTTTTCTGTTCTGTTCATGTAACAGACGGATCGTGAGATTGCTTACCATTCAAATTACATGAAAATCTGCATAGGTTCACAAAATAATTATACATTCCTGATTCATGGACAATATTGCCTGCTCATTGGCATTGCTAATTCTGATTACAAATTATTATTTAAATCTATTGTTAGATATAATCACGCAGCTAGACTATTAAAAACTATACTTATGTATGTACAAGTATACCTG